TTTTAAGTACCCCAAGCACTGGTCATCGTTCTTATCGAACCCGTCACTTGCGACGAAGGACTCAGAGAGTAAATTAGCCCACAGACAGCCCGCTGAGTTTCTCGCCGAATCTTCTCAGTGGGTCGCGTTTCCGATCCGGTGGTAGATTCTGCGAAGCTCGCTAGGGTTAGTGTTAGTAACGACGTCAGGTTGAGCCCCGTGAGCTCAGCTACTAGTTCGGTGAATCTAGAATAACCCCTCCAAGTTACTAGAATAGGCAGGGAAAAAGGCATAATACATTTAAAATATACTTTGGAAGTATTAGATATACCTAGTATTTAACATTCAAATTGATTGAGCGTACTGCGCATGTTCAGAATTTAGCCGCGTCTGGATAGAAACTGAAGTGCGTCAGCTGGGGGTGTAGTGTACATATTTAAACACTACTAGTGGTCCCGCAGTAGTCGAAATTCGACTATAATTAATTGAAATTATAAGTTTGTACACTATTATGATTCTATTGTCAAAGTCAATTATATTTCTATAATCACAGATTTAGCTAAGACTACACTTTAGACAAATATTAATAAAAGACAAACAATATTTAATCTATTCTCAATTTGACCACACACTATGAGCAATAAGAAAAGTTTGACAATAAACTAATAGTATGCATGCGTGTGTATGTTAAATATATGGTAGTGTGTGTAATGTATTTTTTTATTGATTTAATGTACTTCTAATGCGTAATTAAAAAAATATTAACATTCTGCACTCCTTCTCCATATTCTCTATAAGTGTGGGAAGTTTGATACTCCTCCGTCGCCGCAATTTTCGTAAAAAGGGGTACAAAGTTTTTGCTTTCCGTATTAATATATAGATGTATACAATATTTCTTCAACCGTAATGCCGAAGGAAGCTATTGATGTCCACAAACATTCTATATAAATTAATCATAATATGTTGTGTTTTAATAACTTTTCTGTGTTAAAATGAAGGGTTGAATTTTATTGAGAGAATTGAATCCTTTTGAAAGCTTGCTGTTGAGAACGTTTCTCCTTTTTTTTTTTATTTGTAATTGTATGATGATAAGAACTAATCAGGCAAATAGTAACCCTTTCAAAAAGAAACCGAGTGTCTTAATTGTTTTGATTTCTGAAACTGCGTCTGTATAAAACATGGTTGGTTTCCGCGCAGGCGCTCTAGGATATCCGGCGACGACAACACAACAAATTGCGCACATCAATACAGGTGAGCTGTTGCGCATGTTCACACTTTGCTATCCCCTGGGATGCTATTTATAGATGAACTGAATGATTGTAGCCAATGAAAATGACAGAGGCGCAATATAAATATATATGTGTTTCATACATCCAGGTTGTATTTTCAATAATATGAAATGCGGGATTTCAGACATCAATTTAACAAGTCTTTAAACAAATTATGCACATTGATAGAGCACGGCGCATGTGTAGGTTTTCTCTATGATATTTATAGATAAATCATATTATGTAGTGGTACCATAATATTAGCAAAAAAAATTATGACGTAGAAACCAATTTTGTTGTCAATTGTCTTTTTGCATAATATATTGCATGCACAAATGCGTTGTTAGCAAGGTTCAAATTATATAAATCTAAATTTTTTTATGTATCATTAAATTCTCTAGTTTGGTAAATGGACTTATAGTTCAGCTTGTGTTGAGTGTTTATTATCGGAACTCATTAATGTCATTAAGAAATTTGAAATTATTATAGCTCATGGTGTACTAAGCTTTCCCTATAGTATGCCTCCTAATATACTACTAGTATATGCCAATCGTATACCAGCCCTTTATTTTAAAGAGATAAAGCACGCATTATAGTATTATGCAGTATCGAAACTTCAGCCACCAAGGGTAAAAATAAGTCTACGTGAAATTCGGGATTTTTCGACCAGAGGAATACTCCAAGTTGGCGACAAACGATTATGCAGATTTTGCGTGTTGCATCTTTATGAATTTTAATGATGTTTTGAAAGACGTAGTGGTCATCACATGTTTTCTGGTAATTATTGTTTGTTGTTTCACAAAAATGACTTTTAGCCATTACAAATTTTTTTATATTTTTTTTATTGCTTAGGTGGTTGGACGAGCTCACAGCCCACCTGGTGTTAAGTGGTTTCCGGAGCCCATAGCTACCTACTACGTAAATGCTGTCACCTACTTCGAGACATAAGCTCGTAGTCTCAGTTTTAACAGTACAACGGTTGCCCTACCCTTCAAACCGAAACGCATTACTGTTTCACTGTAGAAAAAGGAAGAGTGGTGGTACCTACCCGTGCGGACTCAAGATGTCCTACCACCAGTATGTTAAGGAATTGCAATTCTTGTACGATGTTGTACAAAAAGTATTTTTATATGTATTTCAGAATTTACTCTTACCTGTAATGCAATCCTGAAGCAGTAGTATCATCGGAAGCAATTCAAAATATTCAACACTCGACTTTTATTTCACTGCACACATTGCGCGGTGAGATATATACTGATTACAAAAAAAAAAAAAACTTTTATAAAATTACTAAAAACAAAAGCTTTTATTGACCGCTACATAATAAGAATAACTAAAGATTATTAAATTAATACACGCCAACGTAAGTACAGGTGCTACATCGCAAGCAGCGCTTGAAACCCGAACTGAGATGAAAACGGCAGAAAGGACTCTTAAGGCACAAGAGGACTGCGCAGACTCCAACATTCTGCGTGACTTGTGACCTTTTGAATTTACAATGTTTTACGAATCTATTTTCACGCTTTCGATTATTTAAAATACCATTAAAACTTATTCATTTTGTATTTTAAATACAGTATATTTTGTAATTTAGATTTTCAAGTATTGGTAGGTACGTAGAAATCGAAAACAAGATGGCGACATTACCCACAGTTGAAAAAGTGCACTGCGCAAACTCCGAAGTATTAATTGACGTTTAATTTTCTTTTTTTTTATCCCTACCTATGCTGATAGCTGTAAGAGGCTATTTCGGCGTTACCCTATCGTGTAGGTGAGCTTACGGGGCTCAAACCGAGAGTGTTGCTAATACTGACCCTAGCAAGAGCAGTGCTTCGCTTCGAATCTACCACCAGATCGGAAACGCGACCCACTGAGAGGATCCGGCGAGAAACTCAGTGGGCTTTTATCGTACAATATGCCCGTGTATTTCTTTGAAAACGCATTTTCTTACAATGGGTGTAGAGCCAACCGTTTTCAATGTATTTTAATTAATTTATCTATCTTTCGCTTTCTTTCACAGATTATGTGAGGTAAATACTCAAGAGTCCAATGACGTCATAAAACGATATAGGAAATCCGGAAGGAAGCTAGGAGTTTGCCAATTGTACCAGTGGTTCAGGCGAGGTCGATTTGTAAGTCGAACCTTGATGCAATTCCTTTGATGTGAAATCGTGATCCAGGACACCTCATCTTCTGCCTAAAGCAGTTACTGATCAGACACGGTTTTTTTTTTAAATACACACGCATCATATCCGCGAAGTCTACGTTAAGTCAGGAACCCTGTATGTTCGGGACTCGCTATTAATGTCTGATTGACTTTGGTCACAGCTCAAGCTTAGCTGGTCTTGCTTAGCACATGACCAACAGCAGTGATGGAAAACCATACTCCTTAACTAATACTAGTGTTGGTCTAGTGAAGCATCTTGGTCTTCTACGTGGCATCGTCCTAGCAGATTACGTTTTTAAATACAAAGCTATACGTCATGAGTCCCGAAAATGTGAAATATCAAAGGTGATGGTAGAATTTATAATTAATACACACCATTAAATCAATACTGATTAAAACGAATTTAAACTAATTCTAATACTTAAGTAAACGCGTCAAGTAAATGAATAAAAAGGTACTTCAGTTTATGGCGTACATGACTGACATAGAGAAGCTATGTATTGTTTATGAGCACGGAATGAAGTCTAGAGCGATGGAAAAGAGGGAGCATGATGGCCTAAGAGAGCATCATACCTTTTGCCATCAAGACACGAGTAGGTTTTTCTTCGAATGCGAAGGAGTTTCACATCACAACAACATTTAATTTTATAATGATCATTATGTTCGAAACTCATATAATTTATTCAATTGCGAAAAGTACCAATAAAATTGAAAACTAACGATCTTTAAATTCGATTGTATTGCATTATATTCAATTGCAAAATAGTACCAATAAAATAGAAAACATTGTAATTTAAGGAAAGTTAATGTAACTTGTCATTTTTTGTTTGTATTTTAGTATGCCGCAAATACAAAATGGCGGAAGGAAAATTTCAGACGAACGGTTTTGCGCAGACTCGTGTTTGTTGATTTTGCCTTTGTTTAAGTATCAGAAATTTTATTATCAACTATTTTAAATTGAATTAGTCCTTCGACGATTGTAATTTAAAGTATAACAACATTGAGAATAAATAATACCAGTGAAATTATATTATTTGTAGTACCTAAATAGCGGAAACCATTTTCATGACCACGACCATCTAAACAAAATGGCGGATGGAAATTTTTAAGTACTTCTTGCGCAGACTCGAACCTGTTGCGTTATGATGATGATGTGGCAATTTTTTTGCGACAATAATATATAATAATAATTAAAAGTATATTTTTTAAATATTTTTTTAAATATGTATTAACATTTTGAAATTTAAAGAACGCGAAATCACAGACTCAGCAATTATGGCGATCATTTTAGTTCTGTTTTACCTTACCATAGCAGTATTTATAGAAGTTCAAATATTATTAAGAACCTAAATGACTTAATATTAAAAAAAATAACATAATTACAACACTAATTAGCTAGAGATAACAACTAGATTGAAATAACGTACTATTACGTTCGAAAGACAAAATAAGCATATTTTAGTTAAATAATTTTGGATATAACTTAAATGAAATAAAAAATTGAAATGAAAATAAATATTAATGATGACTCAATATTGTCAATAATGATGATAACAATGATAAATAAGACTCGGGAAGCTACTTACGTGAAGCCTGACCAAACTCGCTATGATAATGATGAGCGCCACCGCCAGGTACATACATGCACTTTTTAACGTTTTTATGAGGAATTTAAAATGAAAACACTGTAATTAGATTCGAAATTTGCCTATGTATTGACCGACGGAAAACCGGAGGGCAAATGCGCCCCATGTCGGGGCTGACGGGGATCGATAGAGTCACGCGCATGCGCCCCCAACTTAACTACGCAGTTGTCGACGTTGGCAGGAAAACTACGATTTTCATGGAAAAAAAAACATTTTTTTTTATTTTTCAAATATGGAAGAATTATTTATGATATGTGTCAATAAAGTTACTCAAACCTGTTTTTAAGAGAGTTTCTTATCAGTGTGTGGTTTTTCACTCATACTTAATTTTACAATAATCTAATTTATCGAATTTTGAGTAATTTTTATTCGGTCCGATTTTTTGCTTGAAAAAATTACATCTGCATCTGCTTGCTGCGTTTAGACAATACTGAAATATTCACTGAAGAAATACATAGTTTTACTAATGATTTTATAAAGTGAAAAATTTTCGTAGCATCTTCGTGATTTGGTTGCAATTAAATGAAACGAAAACACCGCATTAAAAAATAGACATACGTCTATAAGATTGGTCTAAAAGAAAATGAGTAAAAATACTGCTGAAGGCTTCATATTGACAGCGTTTGAATTACACACATGTTTTATTATTTAATGTCTTTCTGATATTGTGATGTTATCAAAAATCGGCTAATGCGCTTCACGATGCATTGTGCGTGATAAACTTTGGGTCGCAGGTCACGGATTAAGAAGTTAGTAGTTTTTGAAGTAAAAACTTCTTTAGAATCGTTGTGATTTCAAACCGGATGCAACGGAAAAAACGACAGGTAAGAGACACAAATACAAAAGAATGAGACAGAAATATACATACTATTTAATACAGCGCCATCTGTGAGATTTTTTAATACTAACGTGTGTATGAAAGCTCTTGTAGTGAATTTTAATTTAGGATTATACGTGAAATTAANTGTGATTTCAAACCGGATGCAACGGAAAAAACGACAGGTAAGAGACACAAATACAAAAGAATGAGACAGAAATATACATACTATTTAATACAGCGCCATCTGTGAGATTTTTTAATACTAACGTGTGTATGAAAGCTCTTGTAGTGAATTTTAATTTAGGATTATACGTGAAATTAAAATATCAATTCACAGAGGGCGCTTTAGGATAATTGTATTTTAATTTTGGAAGGTTTCAATTCTACCACGTGTGAATTGCACACATGTATTTTTTTTTGGTGATAGTTTTATGTGTCTACGTTATGGTAGTATATTGCTGTGTAAGCTTTAGTAATGGTTTATAAGCCTGTATCAGAAAAGTAGGTACTTCATTAATTTCATTTGCATACAGTTTTCGTCAGATTGTGCTAGATGATTTTATTCATTCTCGGTTGAATTTTACCCGTCGCTTGAGAAGAAGGGCTCGGCGAGTAAATTAACCCACAGACACAGCACATTGAGCTTCTCGCCGTATCTTCTCAGTGGGTCACGTTTCCGATACGGTGGTAGATTCTGCGAAGCCCGGCTCTTGCTAGGGCTCGTGTTAGCAACGTCATCAGGTTTGAGCCCCTTGAGCTCACCTACTAATTCGGCGAATCTAGAATAACCCCTCGAGGTTACTAGAATAGGTAAGAAAAAAAATGCCATTTTATCTTGAGAGGATCGGCAAAACATATTTAGTTGTTGAAATTTAAATTGGCTTAAAGTTTAAATTCGCTTCAATTATAAAATCTACCATTTGTAATATTGTACATTTTTCATTAATGTAACGTCTTGCAAAATATCGCACTATGGAATGACAGCGATATGAACCTTTATTTATTTACTACAGTGACATCTAGCGATAAAAATATTAACTTTAAAATAACTGTATATTTTGTTTTCAAGTGGCTGCTTAAGTTGGAAGAGTTGTGTAACATCTATTATAGATGTCACTGTATTCGATTTTCACAACGTGACTGATTTCTTTGGGCTTTAAGTTTATAGATGGCGCTGAAACTGAGTAAGTTTGAAATAAATGAAGACTGTAGTAATTAAGAATTAGAACGCGAATCATTTTATTATATTATACCGTCTGTTGTAAATTTTAGGGTTTCATCATCGTAAGAATTAGACTTAGTACTTTCTATATACTTTACCTGCTGGTACTTTACCTGTACGGTACGGTAACTGTACCTTTTTTTTGAAGTGAAACTTCCTTATCGGCGTTGGAAAAAAATTTACCGTCACATTTTTCGGTTACGCGTCACATTTTTCCGTTACGCGCCATCTGTTTTGTATTCATGTCTATGATAATAAAATCCTTTTGTTTAAACTTTATCTAATTTAACTTTTTTGTATTCATGTCTATGATAATAAAATCCTTTTGTTTAAACTTTATCTAATTTAACTTTTTTGTATTCATGTCTATGATAATAAAATCCTTTTGTTTAAACTTTATCTAATTTAACTTTATTTAACCAATTTCTAGAAAGTTGCATGTAGATCATTTTTCGAAAAATAAGGCCATAAATAAGTTTCACTTCTTACGTGTGTACACTAGTACACGCACACATTTTTTTTTTTTAACGCTGGGTATTCCATTTACGGATATCCGGTCGAGAGGGGTAATAGACCGGGTTATGTCGGACTCCGGCGCCTCCAGAGAAGAAGAGGGAGAAAAGGAAGACCAAAGCCCTCCTCCTCTTCCAATTCCTACCGGGAGACTACGCCTTGAGAAAGGCGCGCGAGTCGCTGCGCGGCGTCTACCACGCAGGACCCGCCCCGCAAAACCGACTACCGACTAAACCCCATCGAGTTCCACCACTCCGACTCCACGAAACCTACGGTAGCGCACAATGCGCGCCGCAGGCTCGCCGTCGCCGGTACCGACGGTAACTATACCTACTGGAAGAAAATATTATACTGTAACTATGGTTGCCACCCGTACTTTATAATAAAGTATTTACGTTATTTCAAGTAATTGTACTCTATACTTTATGTGAACAATAAAATACACGAAAATTCTTTATTCGGCATGATTTGTTTTCTTTGGGATTTTAAAAGTTTAGTCATAATATGTAGGTATGTATTTTTTCGTTAACACGATCTCTCAGGCATGTTAGTCATATCTTTCTCTGTAAAGTCTCCGGTAAGCAATTAATGCCAAATGAAGTGAAGAAAAAAAATCTTAAAATTGTTTGACCATCATAAATCGTCCCAAGTAGTTTACTATGTGATTTTTAATAATTCACTTGTACTATATTAATCTTGTCAATAGATGTCATACGAATAAATCTTAAAGTTTCCCTTTGTCGTAAGAGACACGTCTAGGATATAATAGACTGAATGTATTTAATCCTTTATTTTGAATCCTCGAGGCTTTGGTTTCACGAGTAAATCATCGTCGGTATAAGTGTGAGAACGCGGAAACTCATTCTGATGTTAATGAGGGGATAATCCGCGGGGGACAATGCGAAGGGTCACACGTCAGGATGACAACACACGGATCGCTGATTTCATATTATGACTTATCAAAACTTATGTTCCGTGAATTGTGGTTAGGCCTAATTAAGGCTTTGATTTTACGTAAAACGGATCACAGGAGATGTAAGTAATTACTTGCGTAATTAATTTAAGTAATTATTCAATTGAATGGGACTTTTAAGCTATTGCATAGCTTTTATCGCGGGCCTTGAGAGCGGCGATCGAATCATGCAATTCTGTAACGAAAAAAACCTTACACCCTCACTCCGCCTACAATGTAGCTCGCGTTCAACACATTCACACGTTGCGCTTGTGTAGTGTTTGTGAATAAGCGCGTGGCGTGACGTCAGACTGCATGCGATCATCAAAAGTCTGCCCATCTCTCTCTCGCGCGGTCTAGCTTATGAATGTGAAGGGGACAGTTAAGGTTTTGCTTTTATTAATGTTTAATATAGCGTGGTCTTGTTTTATTATTGTTTTAATATTAAATTATCATTGTCTAATTATAATTGCATAAGTTGATAAAAAATGCTATGCAATAGCTTTACCGCGGCAGTTCCCGAGTGCCACACGTTTTTTTTAAATCATTTGTTCGTTCGATTTTGAAGGGTTGCGATGGTTAAGTCTAAGCCTAACAAGAAGGTTACCAATTCGACTGTATTTTAGATTGTAAGTACATAATTATGTTACCTCGGAACTTTTTTGTAGGTGGACCGGTTTTGATCAGTATAATATATTCTATGAGCTTTTCGCCGGATCTTCTCAGTCGCGATTCCAATGTTAGCAAGTTATCTCAGGTCATGCCCGTGAGCTCACCTACCCGTCCGCCCGTAGCTTAAATAAATCCTTAGGTTACCAACGAATAGGTAGAAATGTAGGGGAACAAGAAAAAAGTATATTATGTAGATTTTCTTTTTTTTTTTCTTTTTTTCTTTTTCGCTGTTATCGCTGTTTGGTGTTAAGTGGTTACCGGAGCCCATAGACATTTACAGCGTACATGCCACCCACCTTGAGATATAACTTCTAAGGTCTCAAGTATAGTTACAACCACGGAATAGATAAATAAGGTTGGAATTTGAATTTTAATTTGAATTTCTAATTTTGTATTAGAACCAGTGTCGCCGCTTCATCCCCACTATTTTAATTTCTACACATACACACACTGTGATTACAAGTATTTCGCACACAACAAAAACACCCACACATAAATCTCAGGACAGATATTCGTTCGCAAACTAGTACAAAACACCCGTAGGCATACACACTCACACACGCAAAAAGGCAATAAAAATGTTCATATACGCTAGTGCTTGATAAAACCGATATTCTTTATCGATAAATTATCTGATGAATGAATGAGGAAAAATGAAACATGAAATAAATATTGAAAAAAAAAACTATTTTACTTTTATTAATTACAAACAGTCACTGTCTCTAGAATAAAACGTATTTTTTAAGCAGTTGGCGCTTGCTATTAATTGCGAATGAATTTTTCAAAACTAAGTGTATTCTGATTTTTTTATGGGAAAATCATTTTCAGTAAAATGTTTAGAGCAAATAGTACTCGTCTTTATCTCCAGTTTCCTCTACCTGTCACGTCAATCCATTGTTCCCTGGCGTTAGGTTCTTTAGGAAACCTAAAAA